AAGCAAGAATGGTTGGGAGGGGAAAGGGAAGGCTGGGTTGGGCAGGTGAAACGGTCAGGGGACGCGAACGACGCGAACGAGGGCCCTCAGGGGGAGGGAATGATGGTAAGAAGGGATTACTGCCTGAAATTTAAAGAATGGACTGACATCGACCCGAGCTTCCCAATGAGGCCAGCTTCTTTGATTTCCCGGACCCCTTCCCCCCACACCCTTTATCCCTAGTAGAAATAACTACGCCTTAAACCACCAGTACCTGGCCCATACATCGGCCGCGGCCCCTTAGTGTTAACGCTACGGGTTTTCCGGGCTTCGGAGAAGGCCCGGTAGTGCTATGGAGGAAGAAGACATTGGGCCCAAGGAAAATCACAAATGGAATGTAGTCTGTCCCCCTGGTTTATACCGTGCATGTGGAAACAATGCACAGACGCAGTATAGGCCATAAGAAAAAAAAAGAAAACAAATGAAAACGAGACAAGTTTAGGAAAAAAAAAAGAAGAAAAAAAAAAACAAAGTCGTACCCACCACTTGGCGGCCAAAAGGAGTGAGATAACGCCCTTGAGTGTTTTCAGAGCGCCGCCTCTCACGGCGGGCAGGCGGGCAGATGAAGGGCCAGCTCGGTTGGGTCTCTCTACACTACTGCAGGAATGCTAAAAAACTGAAAATGTATCTTTCCATGTTCCAGAGGAGGATTCGGTCTCATGCCTTCACGTTTGGAGAGTTGCCACAGAGCTCTTCCTTCTGCCCGCCGTGGGAGGCGGGCCTCTGACAGCCCTGAGGGCGCTTTGAATCCTTTTTGCCCTTTTCAGTCTTTTTTTTCCTTTGTCTCTGGAAGAAGATTTGGTCCCACTTGTGCAAAATAAGACTGAATCGACCCCTAGAACATGGAAAGATACATTTTCATCTTTTTTGTCTTTTGGTTTACTTTTTAGACTGAATCCTCCCCTACAACATGGAAAGATACATGTGGGGAGACTGAATCACTGCTGGAACGTGGAAAGAGGTACACGGCCATTTTTTATTTTTATTTTTTTTTCCGCCATTTTTTTTGTCTTCACGGGGAGCACATCAGAAAAGCTCTTCCTTCTGCCCGCCGTGAGGGGCGGGCCTCTGACAGAGCTGAGAGCACCCTTCCTGCCTTTTTTAGTTGTTTTTTTTCTTTTTGGCACTTCTGGCCAGCGTGGGCTAATGTACGAGTGAAAACAGCTACCCCGTTTCGCACCAGCTGCTGGTTGCAGGTCCAGCACAAGGGGCGGTACCTCTGCCAACCACAAAATGCCCCCTACCGGTTCCCGCCCCTTCCAGGCTCGGCAAAGCTTGGCGCGCAGGGCATATTTAGGCTCGGCATCAATAGCTGGGCCAAGTACTGGTGGTTTAAGTCTCTGTTTTGGATGCTGTTTTTTGGGGGGTTGCATTTTAACAGAATGGGCTGAGGTCAGCTGGATGAGATCAGAGTAGAAAAGGGACGCTGGACCCGATTTCCAGCAACGAGAGAAGAATTTTCAGAACCATTTTTGAGGCAATAAGATACTGAAGGGTATGGGCTGAGGGCATCTTGATGAGATCGGAGTAGAAAAAGGGACGCTGGACCCGATTTCCAGCAACAAGAGAAGAATCTTCAGAACCATCTTTGAGGCAATAAGATACTGAAGGATGTTTGAGGTTTGAGCTGATGGGACAAACAGTGCAGCAAAAAGGTTGGCAGGCAAACAGGGGAACGGAAGGAACTTACTGGTGCCCCCCAGTGGTTCTGACTGGGCCTTTGGATACGCTCAGGATGGGACGCTGGACCCGGTTTGCAACAATTTTTTTCATGTAAGGGACGCTGGACTCGGTGTCCAGCAGGTGCTGCTCCCCACCAATAGATGGAGCCTTCCTGGGTCTGCTAGCGGTGTCTGCAAAAAAAAAAAAAAAAAACATACTGAAGTGCATTAGGAAGAAAAATCACAGCGGTGCTGTCTTGCCGGCCTGTTCGGATCATCACGTTTACACTTAGCAATTGCATATTAACATTGTAGTATATTACGCGGAACTCCGTAGCAGCCAGCCTGAGTTCAAGCCTCTAAAGAGGAAACATGCGGGGGCTGCATACAACCTGCATCTGGGCAATACCGGCCAGGCAGCAGCCGGAAGCATCAGGACTGAGCTTCTTTGATGGGCCAGTCCCTGTGCCTCGCCTCTGGTCCCCTTCCCCTACAGACATGCGCAGTCTCTGCTCACTGCAACTTGAACCCAAGACCTACCTTACCAACTGATCTGGGCCCCTTGATCTCGTTTCCCTTTTTTTTTTTCGAAAAAAGGGGCAAAGTGCCCAAGGTTCCAATTACGAATTTGATTATAAGCTTTCCTTTTCTCATAATGATTTCAAAACAGTTCTTTTTTTCAAAATAAAAAAACTCAAATTTCCAAATGGGAAAAGGATTAAAATAAAAAAGGGCAAACTGCTCGTGGGTCACCTTTTTAGTTCAGAATACGCAGTAAGATAGTTGGGTTAAGGGGTACGCTGGGAGTATTGATGAGTCGTAGGGTGGGAGGAGTATTGATGAGTGGTAGGGTGGGAGGTGACCTCGTATCTTAGGACTGCGAAGGCTCATCCCTCCCGGTGATCCCTGTGTGCCTGGTAATTAGCCTCTACAACATCCTCGACTTTATTTCCAAAAAAAGAAAAAAAAAAAAAAGAACATGGCTTCGCGAAATTGACGTCTTAGTCCAGCGGCCTAGCTCAGTTGGTAAGGCTCGCAAGTGGCATTCAGGAGGTCATGGATTCAATCCCCATTGGCCTCATGCCTTCCTGGGCTTACTTGGCACCCGCTACCCAAGAGATAGACCACTGGATCCCCCGATCGGCATCAAGCAGAGTCTGCTATGTTCGTAGGGGAGGGGCCTGAGGGGAGGCACGGGGGATTGGTCCGCTTTATCCCTGGTGCTACCAGCCGTCCCCTTGGCCGGTATCCTGCAGGCTCGAGGGGCCGTAAAAACACGGCTCTGGTATGCTACGGGTTTCCCCGTATGCCTGTAGGTAGGAGTAGTGGTAGGTAGGTAGTGTGAGGAAAAATTGAGAGAAGAGTATAGCTTTTCAAAAAAATAGAAATAAAAAGAATTGACGTCTTAGGAGTTCAAGGGGGCAAAAAAAACAACCTCGCCTGGTCTGAGCACACCTCGAAGTTCGCCCGTAGCAACGGGCCGCAGCAGAGCCTGGTAGGGCCAAGCCCTACGCATAGCAGTTAGATACATATATATATTTTCCTCATCTAACTTGACAATGTCCTCTTGCTACTCTATGTATAGTAGGGGGGAACACCCACCAGGGCCACCAACCCAACATGGAACTACCCCCAGCCCATGGGGTAGGTTGGCAACTTGGCACCACAGCAGTGGTGGGAGAGCAAAGCTTGTATCAGCCCCTTATCATATACAAAGAAGACTGAGAGGAGAATACAGATTGTCAGATTTAAAAAAAAAAAAAAAAAAAAAAAAAAGATTGAGAGGAGAATACAGATTGTCAGATTTAATTTAGTTTTAGTAACTGTTTATATGAATTTAGTTTTTATATGAAGAAAGAAAAATACATGGCAGGGGCAGCTGGTGCATCAGCACACTAAGACTTTTTCTTTTCCTGCTGTGATTGCTGTGAGATTCATCCAGGTATGGGCGTCGTTCGACACTCCTCGGGGACGCGATTTCGAGGATTTCGTCATCGTTCCACCTGTCCTCGGAGCCGATTTTCGGAACAGAAATGTGAAAACACTCCGAGGACAAATCCTCGGGCTCCGAGGATTTCCCAGCCAAATCGTCCTCGGGTTCAAGGGACCTCGCGAGGTCCTTTGGAGCCCGAGGATCCGCGATTATCGGGGTGTCGGCGGCGCGTCACGAAGGGGCAACGGAGGTCGAAAGTGGTCCAGAGGTGGTCCGGAAGGYGGAAGACGGACATCCCGAGGCGWGGGCATCCAAAACGTCGAGTAACGGCCTCGTCGTTTTACCGTTGGCGGTGATCGTCGCGGGACGGCCCTGTCGGTTCGTCGGGTGTCCCGGCGGAGGTGCAGTGGCGAGCATCGGACGTCTTCGGCCGGCTCCTACAGTGGTTGTGCCGTTCCCGCGTGCTCCACAACGGTCGAAAAATACGTATTTTGTAAGCGACCTCCTGCAGCCAGCTTCGAGATTGCATCAATTTCATTCGTTGGCGTCTTCCCTTTCACACCGTTTGTCTCCGTTCGCCGCGCTTGCCGCAGCGCGAGTGCGTCTTTGGTTTCTGCTGCCCTGTCGTTCATGGCAGACCTGTACCGCAGGCTGCCTTTGCTGCTGCTCGCCGTTGTGCTGCTGCTTGCCGTTGTCGTCTTCCATATTTGCTGCCTCGTGCACGTTCCAGGGAGGAAACAGACGCGGCGAACGTCGAAGACGGCCAGGAAGATGGAGAGGGTACACACGAGAACCACGCTGTCCGTTGGGGCTGTGGGGTCGTCACGTCAGCGCTGCAGAAGTGCGGAAGCAGTCAGGCGGTCGTACGACCCCGCACTGTACAGCCACCTGCCGTCCCACGAGATACCGTTGCCTCCAAGTGACGATGATGGCGACGACCCACGATGTTCTACCCTTCCTCTGGGCAGCGGTTCGACTCAGGATTGGATGGGGAGCCAGCTGCACAGGCAGGCATCGACGCCGACATACACTGATCTGCTGGAGGGGCGTACCTAGGCTGGTTATGACGCAGGACTGGTGGATCTCAGCTTTGGATTGAGGTCCGGAAGTGCCGAGGAGGTGACGCGCACCGTTATCGTGAACCCAGCTTCGGGCACCACCCACACACCGGCTCCAGTGACAACGCGGACTGGCGGATCAGTTCAGTGTAGAACGACGACGGCAGGTGGCACAGTGGACGGACGACGCCCAAACGAAGAGTGGTCAGCAACGGAGGTCGTTGGTCGAAAGTTTTGGGATGATCATCGGCGATAATCGCATGAAGCGAGCAGGGCCGGCATAACGAGAGGGGTGGCGAAGATTACCGAGGGGGCCGACGATATATCAGGCGATGAAGATGGTGCAGTTGTGGAGGATTGCAAGGCAGACGACGGGGCCGGTAACGACGACGAGGAGGACGACGAGGAGATGGAGATTCGTCCAGTAGGGAGAAAGCGGGGAGGGTCGAGGGCCGCGAAGAAGTTGCCGGAAACGCGCACGGGGCGGAGGGGGAAGAAGGGTGTGGAAGATGCGTCGGCTGGCGAGGGATCGAAAAGCCGGGATTTTTGGACCGTGGAGCACATGATTGCTCTCATCTGGGCAAAAAGAGACCAGGATTCACATCTTGCCGGCCTCGCGCACACCACGGGAAGGATGAAGACGAAGACATGGAAGTGGGACGACGTGGAGAAGAGGCTGGTGCACATGGGGGTCACGAGTAGAAAGGCCGTCGATAGCGGGAAGAAATGGGACAACCTATACCAGCAATTCAAAACCGTGCATAAGTTTATGGGAGAATCGGGGAAGCCAAATTTCTTCACACTAACGCCAGGCGAGAGGAAGGAGCGGGGGTTCGATTTCAGGATGGATGAGCGTGTGTATTCGGAGATGGCGGCGATGACCAGGAGCGATCACACCATACACCCCACCAATCTCGCCGACACCGGTGCGACTGGAGGTGTTCAAATGCCCGGCCCACACGGAGGTAGGAATAAATCCGGCGGTAGTGAGGGGGGCGGGGAAGGACAGGACGACGATCAGGGGTCCACGAGGGATTCTATCAGCGGCGGTGGTGTTGGCAGGGGCAACAAACGGAAGAATGTGAGACAACAGACCTTCGACACGATTGCAGACGTGATGAAGGAGCACGGGAGTCTGATGGCGACAACCGTGGACAACGCGAGCAAGAGACAGTGCTCAATTCCGACTAGGCAGTGTGACATTCTGGAGCGAGAGGTTGAAGTGCAGAAGGAACACTACGTTAAGGCCGACTAAGCGAACTTGATGATGTGCCAAGCACTTATGGAGATTGCTAAAGCGATCCGCGAGCGATCGTGACGTCTCCCCGCCACGCGTGCCGTTATTGTCCTGCGTGCTGCAGTGACGAGATGTGCAGGTTGTGTACAGACGACTGGTTGTTATTTGGCCGCACGGTCATTGTTTTTTTTAAGTATGCATTTATTTAATGATTTCATTGTAGAATGGGTATGATTGCTGTCATGCCCCGCAGCGCGTTCTTCGGTGTTACACTACGTCGTCTGATTATAGAATATTACGACTGCTGTAGTGAGGCGTCGCCGGCACGCATGGATGGCGAACTCCGGGGGTTTGGGAGAAGGGTGTGATTTTCGGGCAGGAGGGGGTCGTTGGTTTGGCGGGCTTTTTCGACCTCCGCCAGGGACCTTCTGCGCGCCCACTTTCGATGTTGGCCATGCGAGGGATGACAAGCGCCTGCGGAGGAAAAAAGACCATGGGCGAGCGACGAAGGGGCAGGCTGTAGTGGACGGGGACTCATGTCCACGGTATACTTTCACATCGCAGTACGTAGAAAAAGGACATTCCGCTTGCCATTCCGTACCGCAGTGGTTCCTTAGCCACGGCTCCCTCTCGCACCGTCTGCCTACCTGCTCGTCGTCGCGCGCCTGCAACTCCGCTTCGCCACTCCACGCTCCCGCATCGTGCTGCGCGGACAATGCCCCTTCATGCGCATCAAACAAGTGGTCCCGCGTCCCCGTCGCGAGAGCTGTCCTCTTCACGTACGTGCCGCGCTTCAAGGACTTGAACGCCGCCTCCGTCCACGTGCTCCTTCGTCGACGTCATCCTTCGCGGACGTGCTCCTCCGCCAACGTGTTTCGTCATCCGCGATCTCCATTTCCGTTGCCATCGTCGTAGCGGCTCCACGACCACTGCCCCGTCATCTGCATCGTCCACGTCGTCCTCCGTCCACGTGGAAGCACTGGGAAGCAGTCCGGCGTCCTTCTTCCGCGCGCTCTTTCGTCGAAGGCAGCCTTCGTTTACGTGGTCGTTGATTCCGATTTGCGGACCAGATGCCCCCACGGGGCGCCTCGGCAAGGGGCAGGAAAGATGGCAGGGTGGGCGACAATGGGGAAACCAACAAAGGCAGAGGCCACATACCGAAGTCGAAAAGGCAGCGCATCGATGACGCCAGCTCCTCACAAACTGATGACTTCCTCGCAGACGAAGTGGCTATCGTGGACGCGCAAGGGACGACAGGGGTCGCGAGGTTGGGTTTCGGTCGGGATGGAGTGTCGAGGGAGCAACTGCAAGCAGTGAAATGCAGCGTTGTTGGCGGTGCTGCCGAGACGATGCCAAGGACCCCAAACACGGCAGGGGTTGTCGTCACGGGCGCGCGGATCGCAGGACAACTTTCGGCGGCGCCAGGCCAAGGTCAGCCATGTCAGCCACTCCCCCTGCAACACGTGTTGGCATCAGGGGGAGGGCACACGGCGACCTCGCAAAAGGGCGACGCGACGGCTAGCACCAGTCGGACGGCGGCGGCAGATCACATAGCTAAAGGCGGAGTCGTCGAATGTGCGGAAAAGGGGGGGGTCGACGACGTTGGCCGTGACGATGGCCGAAGAGACGGAAAGCGGGAGGGCAATGACGGCGACGACCGTCCACTTGTGCCGAGGGGGAAGGGAGCGCCGAAGGAGGATGAGCTGGAAGAGAAGGCCAAGTTGTGGGTTGATTGCGACGCTTTCTGGGGTCAGGGTCCCGGAAAACCTCTAAGGGAGGCGGTAGGCGAATGCACCGACTACTTCGTCGCCATCGCCAACGGAGACGCAGGAGCTGAGCCGCCTTCGATGCTCATTATGCCGCCGAATGACGTGCCGCGCTTCAAGATCGACGACCCGGCGCAGCGTGAGCCGGCTCTCTGCAGAGTGCGCAGCGTGGAGAGAGTAGTGTTGCGCACCATCTATGGTTGGATCTTTAACTCGCAGTCGCGGTCGACTGGCTTCTCTCGTGCTGAGTCCTACACCACCGTCGACTTCGCCACGGACCTCGCACGAGCAGTTTTGCAGGCCTTGGAATGGTCGAGAGTGGTATCCCCTGCACTCGTCTACTACACGTTGGCGATGAAGATGGACGTGCCTCTGTGGTTCGCGGGGGGTGAAGATTGAGGACCGCCCGGAAGACGACGACATAGCGGTGCGGCAGGAGGCGATAGTTCTTCTGCTGGCGGAGTGCTGGACAGATGCACTCTGATGCGGACAGTGGGCGGATGGCGGGCGCGTAAAACAGGAGAGGTTGTCCAGGCTGGCGGACAGTCTGCGAGCGTTGTTGTGCGCGGTCATGTGGATCATGCGCATGGGAGGTGACGATGACCAATCGCATTACGAGGCATGGTCGTACGCGTCCATGGTCGCGAAACCGATGATGATAGCGGCGGGGTCGTACATCTTCAACTGGCGCCGACATGTGGTGGACTCCGCCAACCTCGTCCTCGATCGTCTAGGGAAGGCCCACATCATGCTGGGAGATTACCCGCAATGCATTCCGGAATGGTGTGATTGCGGGTTGGCGTTCGGGCACAACGCTGCCCTGAAGAACGCGGCGGAGGCCGCAAAACACGGGTGGATCGGCAGCGGGCCCGTGGCGGATGACGATGGAGATGATGGCAAGTGACACGTCATCCCGAGCAGATGGCAGCGGGTTGGTGCGCATTGTCGGCGCTTCGTCGACGGTGGTGACGAGAGGAGGAAGTGCGCGCCTTCAAGTGGACACGGTAGTGCAGAGGCCGGACGGGTATTGCCAGGTGTTGGGGTGGGGGGTGTGGCGAATACGTGAGGTGGCAGGTCCTGCGCAGCAGTCTATCAAGGTGGAGGTGTGGAAACATCTCGCACCGCGTCGACCGATAAGGGTGGCGAAGACTGCGCGGTCCAGCAACGTGGCCACGTTGGCAGATGGCTCTGTATTGCGTGTGTTGTGAGCGGCGCCTGTTTTTTTTTTTTTTTTTTTTCCATGTAGTCTTTTAGGAATTGGAGCACACTTTCTGGTCGTGCTCCACAAAAGGGTTTGTTAATCATGGGGGTGACACGTGGCAGCACTGCGCAAACGGCAAGATAAGTTCGTCCTTCGTGGTTTGCGGTTGGAGGGTGGATAGTGGGGAGAGAGTGTGGATAGGTAGGAGAAAAGTCGGTCGCCGCCACAACTTTTTCTGTACTTCAACGAATTTTATGCAATCATTTCTGTTTCTGTGTGAACGTCGTGTGACTGTATGCTTCTTATTGCTCAGCCACTACTGCTTTTCTTCTGTTGTATGCGGGTTTATCATGCACGATAATCGTTAATGATCGTCTGAATCGCGTCCACAACTTCTATTCTCATGCTATTGTTATTGCTCATCGCCACGTCGTCCACAACTTCTGTTCATGTTGAACACCATAGATAAAGGGGAAGAAAAAAAAAAACGAAAACAAACAATGCACGAACCCATCGAAAAAATTACAAGAGGGTTCTCAACCATTTGCCAAAATATGAACCCATCACGAGAAAAGTGTTTGTTGAGTACATTTCATTCCATGCACGTGGTCCTCATCAGTTCAACATCGAAGCTTCACCAACAACATCAACCGAACGCCAAGTACTGCAGACAACATGCATCACAGACGCTACATGTGGTGGACAGAAAACACGTGTCATCAAAAGACGGACAGCAGCATGACGCACAATGGCGAGCTCTCACAAATAAATAAAAAAATACAAATATCTTATAATTTGAAGCAAAACAGCGATCCAAAGCACATGCGAAACAGAGGGGTGTCGACCTGCTCCGCGCCGCCA